TGCATTGTTTCTTTTTTTCTTTCTGTTTTCTCTGCTTATATTCTGCCTAATTTCACTTGTTGATTTTGCTATTTGTCAACTGGGTCGAAACTAAATTGGACAAAAGCACCTTTTAGTCCTGCTGCCTTTAGCATCCTGCAAACTGATTTATACCTGAAAGAGCCTGGTCGAGTTTAAACTGGAAATCTAATCAGTTATTTATCAGATAAAGTGCTGTCCTTGCTGTCTTTTATTAAGATTATGTAGATTTTGCCTCTAGGCAAAGAAAATGCTACTTTGTTCACTATTTTGCAAATTTTAACTGAGACTTTATATTTTGTGTGCAGCTTTTCTTTCTTAATGCTGCTTATTGGGCATGTCTCTCTCCTAAAAGTAAAGTTTAATAGATCCACAGTTGTATATCTCAAGCATTTGCCACTGATCTCAGGCAGATAGACTAAAGAAAACAGTCAACACCAATGCCGAATCCCTTAAATATAATTTCCTCTTTTCCAATCCCACCCCTACTGAGCATTGTGGTTATTAGTGCATGGATTGTGTTGATTTTATTGTACAGTCAACATAAGATAACCTAACATATACTCCAAACCGTGTGATCAACACATCCTTTCACCCAGGAGGTCTCTGGTCTACGTAAGAGAAAAAAGGTAAAAGGATTGTTTGAAGGTTTAACTTTATTAGGAGATTAGCTTCCTTATGAGAAGGAGTGATCTCTGTTTAAATAAAACATTTTAGAATGGCGCTTCTCGAGCTGGCCAGAGGTTTGTCTGATATTTACCTTCGTGTATCTGTGTGTGTAGGTGCATGTTTGTGTTGCCATAAGCCATGCTGTATGTGAAATGTTTTGTAGTGCGGATGGTGACTATTGATTTCCCATATGTGACTTGAGCAGCTAATCCCGTTCTAATGAATTAGTGTATTAATCACGCCATTGTTTTAATCACCAGATATGTAGGGCTGACTCTCCTCTAGCTAGCATATTAGTCATACAACCCTCTAGCTACCCACTGTGAGCTATTTATTTATAATTTACCAGGTATATGCCAAAATGTAAGGGCACGGTTTCTATACTAAAATTCTGGTTGACCCAAAAATTTGCTGTAGGCGTGCTAGCAGGGCTAAGCAGTTCGGCTTTGAAATAATTTTAGTGTTCCAGTGTAGTGTCACTTATTTCCCATTTATTTATTCACTTATTCATTCACTTGCTACTGGTAACACTTGTGTAGTTTACACAGAGAACACAAACACAATGGAGCCTGTGTATATTCTTAAATTGTTAATGCATGTTGGCAAGCCTGCAGAGGACAGACGGTAATGCTAAATCAGGACAGCTTTGCTCTTCCGCCTCCGTTTTCACACTGTCCTTGTGTGAGTGAAGGCATCATTGTGTACACACTGGAGCATCTTTAGAGGCACAGGGAGGCATCTAAACATACACACACACAAATATGCATAATGATATTCACTTACTGGATATTTATTATTTTGTGTAGCTGTATGTTCTAATTTGTAATGGTGAGGAATGGTTGTGTACCGATTCAATATTGTAGTATTTTATCTGCTTCTGTTGAATACAGTATATCCAAGTATGACATCGGTCAAAATCTGTGTAACTTTTGCTAAACTGTTTCAGGATAATTAGAGAAAAGTTACAAAGTCAGTGAAATGTTACACAGCAATATCTAGCATTAGCTAACATTAGCCACCCTAAGCTATTGGTCATACCAGACAAAGTAAAGGTGTAGCAGCAAAGACTTTGAGTGTATTGAATTGAGTAATAGTATGTTTATGAATTCAACCTTTATGTTGTATGAAAAATAAAAAAAATCTTACATAGTTACATAGTCTCACTTTAAAACAGTGACAACACATTTAGTAACATAAAAATTAGGACATGTTTGATAACTTAACCTAAATTTGAAGTTTAAGGTAGTATTAATAACAGCAGTGCTACTGTGGCTCTGTACTTGTGCTAAATGCTAACATTAGCATGCTAACATTCTCACAGTGACACCCAATGCTGATATTTACTACATTCATCATCTTAGTTTAGAGTGCTAGCATGCTAACATTTGCTAATGTGCACACTAAACTGTACTAAACACAAAGTACAGCTGAGGCTGTACAGACTGTCACTAGTTTAAAGGTATTTTTTCATAAACCAAAGTACTGGACAATTTTGACCTGATGGTGCTTCTGGGAACCATAATTGTATAAAAGAGTAAAAATACTTAAAATTGTACACAAAAGTACCCAATGAAGGTACTCTACAATAGTGATTCTTTACTTCCACCCTTGATGTGGTATTTTCTAACATATCTGAAATCAATTTTTAATATAGTCTGTTTTTCTGCCAGGACTGGGCCCCAACAGGAACTGAACCCATGAATTTAGCTTAGTAAGCACCGCACTGTGCCAACTGAGCCATACAGGACTACAGCTGAGCCACTGTTGTGTGTGTGTGTGTGT